CAACGTTATAATATTATATAAATATTTCTGATAAAATGTAGGATTATAGTATTGTAAAAATTATTATTATACTTGAACTATCGATACAATTTGTAATACCATTAATACTATTTTCTGTAGGTATAATATATTTTAATCGTTGCGTAATCATAATAATATCGTGCTATACAGGTATACTGTATATTAACATTATATTAYACACATTTTATGTTAAATATTTTAGACGATGTCTAGTCGTTTTCATTTATCATCAGTCATCACGTTCACCCATTGTCGMAACGATTCTAAAATAACCAATAAGCAACCAAAATTGACCCATCAAGTACTATAAGCATTAGTGCATTATTATACTATTTGCATACTTTAATATTGTTTAGTTATCATTTTTCACTTTTATATTGAACACTAACCCTTAAATATTAAATGAATCAGAAAGCAACAATTTCTCAAAGACCATATTCTTTTCGCTATTGCGGTTCACAAATATAAACATAATATGTACAATGTTGATCTCGGGTATATTGATTTGTTGACTTTCAACAAATAATGAGACTATATACTATTATTATTGCTAAATAAAAAATGTTTTTCCTTGTACCTATAATTTTTAATTTTTAAGTATAATATATTATATAAATAAATACATTGTATACAGTTTACATATTATATTATATAAAAAATATCATTATAATTAACGAGTCTAAAATGTATGATATTCAAACAATAATTGTTCAYATCATACATATCATACTCACCGTTTCCTTTAATTTTAATTATATATAGTTTTCACGTACACATAATCACATTAGAATATGTATTTTCTAGTCACCATTTAAGACCAATTTTTATGTACAAATTATATACTACAGTAGTTTTACACGCTTCAGCAAAACTATAAACAAATTTTTATACGTAGGTATTTATATATACCTAAATTTATTTAATTCTAAACATAGGTAATAACATAATATGTCATATTATGGCTATAGCATTATATACATAAAAATATCTTATTTCATACCATATTATCACGTGATAAATAAAATATAATCATCATGTACCTACATTTTTATTATATATGCTTTGAATTCATAATATATACATCTATTTGCTGTATTATTATTTATGATTTACATTAAAAATAAATATTGTGTTATTTTAATAAGTTTAAACGTTGTTGTATTCTGCTGTTAATTACATATTAATTACATATTAATTAATAAAGTTTCTAAGCCATTCAAAATATATAATGACACATTAAAATCAAATCAGTGTTTTTTTACATTACTCATGCGATTATTATATTATTTAATTAATTACGATTTTCGTGAATATTTGTTCTATATGACGTGTTCCTTACTTTGGTATATGTTCAAATTATGTGTTTGTAAAAAATTAATAATTAATAATCGCTATTAATTCAAATATATTTAGTCCTGAAAAACAAAAAGTTTCGTTAAACATTCATTCAAAATTTTAATTAAATAATTTCACAAGAACGTTGTTGCTAATATTTTAGAAATATAAAAAAAAAATTAAATACAATTCTTCTAATAGAATATTATATGCATAGGCCATATATATATATATTGTATAATTTTAAAAATCATATCACGTAGTTTATATTTTGACGACATAATATTGTTCTATAAAAAAAATTGTCATGAAATTGTCAATATTGGAATACTATTCCAATTTAAATTAAATGCATTACTCAGGAATACAAAAAATGTTTACACATCATATACCTGGAAATTACTAAAAATTAATTATATTATGTCACCGTGACTAATCAGATAAGAATGTACTCAATGAATATTTGTAGTGTAAAAATGAACAACTAACCCCTATGATTTTATGATTTTTATTAACAGGGCTGTAAATTAAATGCAATGAAAAACAGTGAGATATGTATAC